TCAAGGAAAACATTCTCCTCCTTCTTCTACCTTGCAATTTCCCAGCTTTAGCCAGGGTCTGCTTTACATGTTGTGAAAACTTTTGGCTATTTGTTTTACGACCGGCCGCCTGCCTGACATCAACCCTCTTTGGGAATGCATTAATCAGTGATGTCTAAATACTCTTAGAAAGTACATATGATTCAGAAAAAATCACATTAGTGCTTGTCAGGATCGAACCCGTGCCCTCATACATGAGACGCGGGTTTTTTAACCACTAGGCCTTCACTGCCTACAATTCAAGGAAAATATTCTCATGGTATATATATTAAAAATTCAATATTATTATTTAGTGCAGTGAGTTAATATTAATTTGTAACGAAACAATTCTCAAGTGTCCGTTAAAGCACGATTCCAAGCTATTTATTAATTCCAGTCATTCCTTGAAGAGGTTTTGCAATGAATGCAATTCCATTGTGCTACATTAAAGGGTACTATATTAATTGTATGATGGGAATATATCAATAAATACATATGATAATAATTATATATATGTTTAAAAGTATATATTCGTGTATATTAAAAGTATATACGAGGGAAATTCTAATTAAACACAAGCGGGGCGTTAAAGTGGTTAACTGTACGGCCTTTGACGTCAGTTACATGGAAATACGATATTAATCTGGTCGGCTACAGCTCTTAAATGACATGAATGAATAGAAACTGTGTGACTTTAATATATAAAACATATATCAATATATAATATATATTTTATTTGATCATTTATTCATCGTTATATATTATATTATTTGTCAATTTCATTATAATATTATGAATTTGTCAAGGGTCTTTATAAAGTGGTTTGTAATTTTGACACATACAAAATGAAATCTTGCAAGTTTTTGGTTTGGTTCAGTTATCTGTATTCTTGTTTAATACAATTTTTTTGCTGTATTCTGTTTTAATATTTTCAAATGTAGTTTAAAATCAACGTCTATAGATTATTATTAGAGTTTGTCAAAATTAATAAAATTTCTATATAAATCTAAACTTAGAACCGAGCAACGAAAATCTTTCCAACGATTACATTGATAATATATATTTATTTAATACCAATAAGTAATGGACATTTTATTTCTAATTATAAATACGAAGTTATTCTTAATAATTAACTAACTTCGACCAAATGAAAGTGTCTTACAATTCACAAATAATTTAAAATACATATTTTTTTCAATACTATCAGGACTAAAAGCTATTTAAACTGCAGTCAATAATATGTTAAAATCATGATATTATTGCATGTTACATTCATGGAATAATGATGTGTACAAATATTGTATTGCCCATAAAATACACGGCTTAAAAGTGTACATGATAGTTTTAAATTTTACTCGACATTAATACGTCTAGACTATATTTTATTGCTTCTAATATTAGTAGTAAAGTTATAATAACTAATTCTACAAATAAACTGTTTGTTAACCGAAGATTACTATATATACATTACTTCTATTCTTGATTCCCTTTTATAGTTTAATCTTTACTACTATAAGTTTCATTGCTTTATATAGTTGTATCGTCTCGTAATACCCTTTATTTATTACCCATAAGACGTACTTATAGCTGATATACAAGTATTAAATCATTTATTACTAGGACTTATAATATATCATATTTTTTTCATCGGTTTTGATGTAATTCTCACTTTTTTTTTTTTTTTTTTTTTTTTTTTTTTTTATGTTAAAGGTGGCAAACGAGCAGACGGCCCACTTGATGGAAGGTGGTTACCGTCGCCCATGGACATCCGCAACATTTTGTTGCGGATGCGTTGCCAACCTTGTTTTTTGGCGATAGGGAGGGGAGGGAATAAGGAAATGAAGGGAAAGGGTAGGAATAGGGAAAGGGCAACCGGCTCTCTCACTCATCAGACGAAACGCAGCCGGTAAAGGCTACTTCACGCCGATCTTCTGTGAGAGGGTGGTACTTCCCCGGTCGAGCCAGCCCATGTTCGAGCTGCAGTAACTCACCACAGCTAGGCTCTACCACCTCTAAACTCACTGTCATACAAATGAAAATAAGCTTTAAATTATAAAAGAAAGAGATCAAAGTCGTGTGTTATAGCTAGAAATACATATAGTGAAGGTTGAATACTCTTCATTTTAAACTAAAGTTTTAGTTTTTACTTTTTAGTGAAATATTAAGTAAATTGTACTACGAATATAATTTTCAAAAGTATCTTGCTTTTTTCATGATACAGCTTCATTCGCACTGAAGTTTTAAAACATTCTGCCAATGTCAACGTATTTAATTGTTGGACGAATTATAATCTTCAGTACTTTATAGAAAGACGAAGGAATATGTCGAATTAAATAAAAGCATTTGTTTAATTTTTATAATGATTTTTTTAGGAAGATTCTGGTTTTATTTTATCAGCATCTAGAACAACAAAAATATATAAAGAATCTTCCTTAATTATAGTATTAATTGACAGTAATATTGTAACATAATTATTAGAACGTTTAAAAACCGAACGAAACTTTTTATAATGTAGTTAAATCCTTACTCCTTATGTTATTAATAAATAATAAACGTTAGATAAATTGAGAGCTTTATTACCTTTATAAATTGTCGAAGGATTTTTGAAATCATTTGTAATAAATAATCATAACAATAATTTTTATACTTTTTTCACAAAAGGGAGGAAGCCGTTAAACATTTATGAAAACTCATTTGTATGAATTCATTAATGTTTTCGTGTGTGAAGTTCAGGTTCAAGGTTCATGTCAAGTTTATATGAAATTAGAGTCTGAAGAATATTATATATTTTACTATTAATGAGTCTTATTTGTTATATTATGAGTTTTATTTATTTATTATTCTATATGTTGCAATAATTTTATTACGTTTAAAATGTAACTGTCAAATTGACAGTTGACACTGACACTTAAGTTTAATTCTTACATCTTGATAATATTTCGTATATATATATATTCTACGTGAAATTGGGTAAATATATTGTGCACAGTTTTGCAAAGATGAAGGCTACAATTAAAAATATATGAATATCAAAAGGTGTTTAGATTAATGCTTGTAAGTTTATAAGTATATGTTTGTTTTATATTTCCCATAAAAACCAATAAATGCTTACTAATCCTAATATTAATCCTACTTTATTTCATTTATTTAGCAATAACTTATTTCTATTTCATTGAGTATAGCAAGGAGAACTATCACTTTGATTTTTTCACATATAGTACATGTCTAATCTTGTTGAACATAGTTCATAATGAAAATGTAAACTATTGTTGTAATTGGCTCAAGTCAAAATGGCTCCCACATCACTCATCTCGTTAACATGATCAACCATCGAACAGATGTTCGAATATTGACCTAATAAACATTATTAGTTATCCGACTACCACGCTCATATAACTTAATGAACTACAGATATGATATAAAATAAAATATAAAAACTCTTTGCTCTCTTTTATATAATCTGTTTCAATAAAATATTTTTTACCTGTGATATAAATTATAAAAACTCTTTGCTATAATCTGTTTCAATAAAATATTTTTTACCTGTGACAAATTTTACGTCTGTGATTATTGAGTGTGAAGCTGTTTAAATATTTGAAATTGGGATTCGTAAAATAATGGTAGAGTGTAGTGGCGACAGATGTCAACGATGAAAACGTCGCGTTGCATTGATTGGTTCTGTTATCAAAATGTCTGCTGCATTTTAATAAAAAATATACTATTTATTAAGTCTATATTCAAATAAAGTCTATGGATATACACTTACATATAATATATTTATATTCTGTGCTAATATAAGTATAAACATTTGATTCTATGTTTTCATAGCGTCATTTTATTTACCTGCAGTTTCTAACAGTCATTGAATTAACCATCGCCGTGAACAATGTTAGACGTGCGTTTAAAATACATGAATCACTTGTGAGAAAGTTGAAAATAGTTAGAGTACGATTATAAGGTTCACTTGATACTTTGTTAAAACACAAACTAAACATTACTTATAGAAGTTAAAATATTAAACATAAAGTACATAAAAGATTATTGTCCGAATTCATACTTTGAACATTTAAAAAGTACTTGAAAAAGAACGATAAATATATAAGATTTTACTTAAATCGTAACGTAATTAAGGGACATCACTAGCCCATTTCATTCAAAGAAACTAGTCCAGTCTAATTAGGCCCCTCGATTAAACCAAATTAAAGGATAAATACGAAGTATCACGCGATATTTAGAGTTACAAGCGGCCTAGATTAGTGGCTATTTGTAAAACAAGTGATGCCAAGTATTTAGGGGTAGTCGATAAGATCACGCCATACAACTATTACTATAGGATTACTTAAAGAAGAAAAAGAAGTCGAAAAAATATTGATTAAGACAAATTTATCGTACGACAAAATTGTCGTAACATCTCTTAAAGACTTAAATCAAAGTGAAAACTTTCAATATAATAATTCGTAGCCTAACTGAATATAATAATTCACTTTCGCTTAATGATTTTCTATAGTTAATAAAACGATCGGTTTATCAATTAAATCATAAAGATTAAAATAAAACGTTGACGTATTAATGGACGGTGAAACGAAACAGATTTATGCAATGACTTACATATAGAAAGTATATTTGATTGCATACAAGTTGGTAACAATTAATTATCAGGTATTATTAATTTGTCTCAGATTTTAATTTCGTACGTAATCTGTGTCAGGAAATTTCGATTAAAGCCATCAATATAAGAACGACGACCTTTTTAACCTAATTATTGATATTCGCATTATTTTACGCCAGAACTGACCTGACAATTTATTACTAAGGATAGTTCCTGACCCGGATTTTATCCAAGCCCTTATAACGACCACTGATTTATTAAGTTCTATGTAAGAATTGAAACAGTTTATAGTACGATAATGACACTATATCTTAGTTATTAGTGGTTATATATTAATTTTTTTTTATTTCTGTTCCAGAAAGGTTATCTCGAAATGTTCGGATATTTGAAGAAGGGGAGACCGGAGGTTGGTAACTTATTGATGGGGGATGTGTCACAGTCTTACGAAGATGACTTCAGGATTGCTATAAAAACCCTACAAGTATGTAACAGATATTATATAATTATGAAAAAGATATTACATTTAAATAATACTTACTATAGGTTCATATTTTAATACTTCGCGGATCAAATACTCGATTTTTATATAACTCGATTTTAATAATTCGCGGATCAAATACTCGATTTTTATACTAATATGTACCTAAATTTATTTTGATACATATTTCGTGGCTACTATTATATTTATCTATGAAAACAAATTTAATTATTCTTATAAAAACGTTAATTAAAATAAAATTTTAAATATTTACAGGAGTTCGGAGGCATACCAGTAACGGGTGTTATAGATCACGCGACGAAAGAATTGATGAAGAAGAAACGATGCGGCCGACCTGACAGAGAACCTGGAGAAGAAAACGGAACCAGGAGGAAGAGATTCGCGGTCCAGGGAGAGAAGTGGAAACACACTAACTTAACATGGAGGTAAGTTAAATATGTGTTCGTAAAGAGTGTTTTCAATATTTCCTTATTTATATCTCTAAGTATTACATTAAAGCAAATCTTAGTTAAGGATATACAATAAACCAAATTCAACTTGAACAAACTTCTTTCAAATATTTTGTAAATTAGACATCTTAAGTAATAATTGTTTTTAATTGTATTTGATACGAGTACCCTTTAGAGCTGTTCTCAAAAATATTTACTCATGCAGCGTACACGTATGCAAAATTTCATCAATTTACATGAACAAAAATGCAACGTTAAATTGAATTTATGGGTAAAATATAAATAAATAAATTAATTACACCTTAAAATTTGATGTTTTCTATACTCCTCAAATAAAACAAGATAGAAATTGACAACTTTTTCATTATTAATAACGACGAGCGCCATCTGTTTATAATATTTAGAATTTTTTATCAACATAACTGCTTTATTCTATAAACTACTACGAGTAATATGCTCGCTAGATGGCGTTAATTAGGAAAGCGCCATCTATCGCTTTATTAATAATTTTAAATATTGTTCCACTCGTCACTAGATGTCCGTAGGAGTACCGTTTAGATTATTATATTTTATAATAACGAGTATCGTATTTATGCATTAAATTATAGTATGTATATACTAATCAAAAGATATATATACTAATTAAAACATAATATTAGCTGCTTTTCGGAACATAGGGTTAATTGAAATATTTATTTAATATTTTTTTGACGTCACGAAATCAGATTTATGAGGGAAAATATTGCCTTAAGGAATTTAAAACTTAATATGAAGAAGTACAAACTCATATCTATAAAGCCGTATCCTTTATACTTCCAACAACACAGTAATACTTTAGGGCCACATAAAATTGATGACAAATAATAGTTAAATCACGAAGATCGTAAAAGTTACGACGCTTTCCGCGTGCCTTAATTAAAAGAATATTATGTCCATCCGACGCCGCTGAGTGTGATGCCTATTGCAAACTACGAATAAACGAGGGGATGTTCTGCTTCAACATTTTATGTTAGCGTCCACAAACGTTCTTTGAGTTAACTACTTACATTACTTAGTGGTCTCGTGTCTTAAAAACAAAGATCGAGTGTAACGTCTTAAAGTAACGTTAGCATGTCCACGATAACAATCATAAAAGACAAGGTTTGTCTGAAGTAGTCTTAAACTACCGTCTGGCGGAAGCTCGGTACATTGAGTCTCGTGTAGTCTTTTCCGAGTTGAAACAACACCAGAGCACGCAGCTAATTTGTAAAGTTCACGATCACCTGCAATCTGCGACTTCAGCTCCATCCGTTTGCGAATTAATGGTTTGTCAATATTGCTGCCCATTAGCAGATGTTGTGTAAACCGACTATAAAACTGACATCGCGTTCTTTCGCCGTGTTTATTAGGACGAGAGTCAGAACAGTAAAGAAACTTTACGTAGGTACTATCTAAGCTTAATAACTATATGAATACAACAATAGTATGTGATCTTTGGTTTATTTAATTTTATCTATGTTTGTCCACTTTAAGGTCTTGAAATATAATATATAGAGCTCAGTGCTTATATTCATGAAAAATAATATTGACATTGAATTTTGACGCTTTTTAGTTTTTCCGTAAGCATTACTTATCAGTAAATATTATCATATTTTTTGGAAATGAACCATCTATGAAACATCTGTCAACCAAATGTAAAGACTTTCTCAAAATGTTGCTTGCAAATATTTTTCAAAGCTTTTTCATTTTATTTTGAAAATGTATACATGTTAAATAGAATTCTTATTTATATTTCCAAATATTTTTGGTTTCGGGCCAAGAAAATGCGGATTAGGTGTGAATTTGAATTCCACTAAATCTTGTTTCGGTCACAAGTTAGGAAGTGTCTGTCAGATTGAGAGAAAAACATACAAGAGATTTGGAAACTAATAGTAGCTAACTTTAAAACAACAGATATATTAAAAGCATTAGTTGAAATCTTTATAAGTGTCTACATTTCTAAAGTAACATAAGTTATTGACTTTTCAAAAATAACTATAAGTAGAGCTATAGTCATTTCTATTCGCTAGTAGTATATAATTTAACATTTCATACTTTTCCTAACAAGACTTATACAACCGTAATATTTATTAGCTGCGTGCGATATGAAGCGTTACTCAACAGTTTATTTGCTGAAGCTAACTGAAATAAACAGGCCTTGTGTTTGAGACACCCAATAGCGATAGTTATTACATGGAAATAAAGCCATTGTTTTCGCTGTGCCACTGACAGTTGGATGATGGCTACATTCCGCCCCCCGCCGTGCAGCGGCGCTGTCATCGCCATTCAGACGACACTACGGCATTATACCGAGCAATGATATGCATAGAAATATAAATTATGTTAAAATTAATATTATTACGTAAGTTCAAAAACACATTTGTTTTCAAAACGATACAGGTAGCTAATAAAAGAGCTAGTTTTACGTTTATGTGTTTATTTTCATTAATAAAATGTATAAAAATAAATTAATTTGATATTATTATATGAATGTCGCTTTCGTAAATTTTCCACCCACCAACGCCATCTATCAAGGAATTTGGATTTAAGAAACTTTTTTCCAAATAGATATATTTAATAATAATAAAAGATATTTTTTAGATCAATAACTTAAATATTGCATTTTACTAGTCTTATAACTATATAAAAGTAATTTTCAACAAGTCAAATATCTGCCCGGATAGCTCAGTCGGTAGAGCATTGGACTTTTAATCCAAGGGTCCAGGGTTCAAGTCCCTGTTCGGGCGTTTCTTTTTTGAACTTTCTCACATTAAATCTACATTTTTTAATATTTTCCGATTATTCTTATATATTTCATGTGTTCTTTTATATCGAATTAAAACAAAACTTGTACATATTTGTGACAATTTTCAATATTATTCTGTGAGGTTCGTAGAACTTAATTAAACCTCAATAGAATTTCGGTCGGAAGGGCTTTTCTTTATAGCTGACCAAAAAGGTTGTATATATCGGTATGGCTTTAATTTATTGATTGGCTGATTAGTATGAAACCCTATTAGGGCTGTCTCGATGAAATGTGTCGTCACTCGCGGACCATAGAAGAGGCTTCAAATTTTGCATGTGTGTGGTTTCCTTAGTTTTTACGTTGGAACCAAGGGTAAGGATAAATCAAAATGAATGAGTTTAACGTACTAGGAAGTCTAAATTATATTATTATATGAACAAACACATTCATAGACATATTGCAATCGATACGAAGACAGTAAGCTTAGTGAATTGCCCTCCTGTAAAAACTATAAAAGTCCCAATATTTTCTTCTCAATCACGACCAGTTAAAAGTATAATTTTGTATTATCTTAGGTAGTTAGCTTTATAATAATATTTTGTAGGAATATAATGTGTTTATGCATAATGTGTTACGATAATAGGTACCGTGTTAAAGTAATGAGGGTTAATAAATTGAGAATTTTGTCGATAATCGATATGAAAATCGATATATTTCATTTTGTTACAACACTATATTTTACTGTGTGCATTTATTTATGTGTGTGTGTGTGTGTGTGTGTGTTACATATCGATGTATAACTCGTCTAATCAATTATAGACTTTATAAAGATGATAGATTTGACTCACTTCATTTCAGCCGTAGGTACTACTTCAAGATTTTTTACACTTAAATTATTTTTTACACTATAAAAAATTATTAAACAGTTTCATTATATATTTTACCCAAATTTATTCTTGTTATTATTTACAAGAACGGAAGTAATATAAAATACTTATCTAACACCATATAGATTATAAAAGCGGAAGGTGAAAAATATCAACAGAAGTAGCCTTTACAATATGCCATATATTTCCAATGACCGGAGAGTAACTTCATATAAAAATAATAATAATAATATACCCAAGTGTGTCCCTTTGTGTCCCAATGAATAAATTTGCACATAAATAGATTTGCAGACATGTTGATAGATCTAGTCGGTTTGTAAATAAAGTGGATGGATATATTCGAAGTAAAGAAACTGATTTTTTTTTATAACAATCTTTACAAACATTATAAACAAGAGATTTAGTTATTCAGCCGATATTGTGGACATTTGAATATTCATTGTCACGTTATCAAAATGGGCATTAGTAATTATAAAGATTTGACATTTACAAGTGACAATATTAATAATGTTTTTATTAGTCATAGTGAGGGCGTTTGAAATGAATTTAAAAGCACAGATTACAAAAGATAAAGCATGATTATGCAAATAAAAAATTAACTTACCCTTATAATTTAAGTATCAATTAATTATTAACTTACAAAAGCTCACAAATATTGTTATAATAATAATATAATAAAGAGAAATTGTTGTTATAAATTATTATATTTGGCTGAATCAAATGTCAATTCTTCCAAATGGGCGGCGATTGTACAATTTGAAAAAGGAATATAATGGTTAGCGCGTTCTTCACGTAGCGACACTTGAATGTAATATGAATATGCGGACATTTTGAAATGACTATTGCTCTGTTATTTTGTGATTTATGTCTTAACATTTAAATAAGTGAATAAGTGGTATATATTTTGAATATTGTGTCTCGTGCTAGTGATCGTCGTTTGATAGACAGGTTTATTTTTTTTATGCATTCCATTTATTCTCTAAGCGTTCTCTCATGTATTTGACCTTCGACAAAAAGGAAAAGAAAACTCAGAAGCTTCATAAGTTTAATAAATACAGACGTCGTAATGAATACTAATGTAAATGTTTTAAAGTTTTAATCTCGCGCTCTAATTAAAAAGTTCCATGATGCCAGCTAAAATTATAATAGAAATGTTAATTTATTATCATCTATTTACTTTTATAATGACCCGGTGACGTCACTCTTTTATTTGGGAGCAATTATTTTTTAATTTGAATATCGAAACGGAATTCTATATATCTTCTGGAGGAATCCCAGCCAGAGCCAAGTATATTCCAATTAAGGGGAAGCTCTAGCGAGTTCGCAGGCTTGTACGAAGCGATCACTCACTTGCACTTTTAATTAATTTATTTATCGAGTCGCGAATCGACGGCGCAACTCGTGCCGCCGCCGCGCCCCTCCCCCGGCTATATAAGCTGGGAACGAGCCGCTCCGTACGTCAGTCTTCTCAGGGACGCCGCGAGCGGTGCTCCTCATGGGAAATGTGTCGGGAAGACGAGGGTTACTTTAATATATGTATAATGTAGTAATGTAATTCGGGTACTGGGATGTGTTTAGGGTCCGGGTCTCCGTGCAGCGATGGTGGCGGCCTTGAGGTGAGTGTGTGCACGCGCGCCGGCGAGTCGATAGCCCGACTGCCGCCCGCCCACGCGCCTGCACTACAGCTGTTTTATTTGACAACGTGTCAGACCCCTACCATTTAATTTCGATATCCAAATGTCATTTCGAACTCACGCGTTATATTCTTTGAACTATTAAAATTTGATCAGTCCAAAAATATATATTTTACATACTTTATATATTTCCACAATATTTTGTGAGGATTTTATTTATCCATGAAAATGATTCGCGATATATAAAACTTCCTTAAACCAAATTACATTCACAAAATTTATAAAGTATAGTGATATAATTCTCCTTCGTAATTCGCACGTATCACAAAATTAAAAAAAAACGTTTAAAAAAGATAAAGTTAGCCGTAGAATCTATTAACTTTAATATTTCATACATAGAAGCATTCATTAGCCGAAGATCTAAAATCTGCATCAATGTATCAAGCGATTCAGATAGCAGTTGGTTGTTAGCCAAGTATTGAAAGTAATTACTCAAGAACTGGCTCTTAATTTGCCTAATTCACCCCCAGCGTGTATCGCCGAGTTTAATGGGTTATTCGAACAAATGGTGCCATCAGATATTTTAAGGACAATGCTTTTTCATCATATCGCTTGATAATTCATATCATTAACTTAGTACCTGAGTACTCACGTAAACCACTGCCGGTTAAAATCATTAATTTCATATGTCATACTTTTTTGGTTAAAAACAAAATTCCCTTTAATAATTTGTTCTTCAATATCCGCAACTAATACAAGAAGTACAATCAATCTCTGTTCGATGAAATAAAATTTTCTAAAGTTTGTAGACAAGTTTCAGAACCTCTCATGTTGTATGTAACACGTACTCTATACAACGATATTGTACGATCTTTTGAGATAAAGCCGTTTTTTCATTCGTTTCCGATCTAATAAAGATCTTCTTAAACAGATAGACGTTATATTAGATCGCTTAATTGAAAATCGATTATAATTCGAGTAAAACATCGATTAGAATCGATTTTAAAGTAGATTTTTTTATATAAAAATCGTTCGATTAAATAAAATTGTAAAAACGCCTAACATGAAACATTTTTAACGTTGTCATCGAGTATCAATCGCAATTTCTTTAAATTCATAATTCCCTAAGCCCTAAAGAATAAATAACTTTCCCTTAAGTGTCAGTTTTGTAATCCAACGCAAATAATTTAATAGGCGGCCGGTTGCGTATTGTCGTCGTAAAATAGCGATAAGAAAGAAAACAGCCCTCATTAAGAAAGAGCTTTTACCTCCATTATTTAATTGCGGGATTGATACGTCCGCATCATCCAATGTGACTGGAGTTCCTACTTCTTCTTCTTCTACCTGGCAATTTTCCAGCTACAGCCAGGGTCTGTCTTACATGTTGTGAATACTTTTTGGCTATTTGTTTTACGACCGGCCACCTGCCTGACATCAACCCTCTTTTGGGAATCAACATTAATCAGTGATGTCTAAATACTCTTAGAAAGTACATATGATTCGGAAAAATCACATTGGTACTTGCCCGGGCCAGGATCGAACCCGCGCCCTCGGCGACGCGAGGCGGGCCCTTTAACCACTGAGCCACCACTGATACTACTCGAGTTCCTACTGTGGATTGAAAAAAATATTTCCACTAATGACACGTGACGGCAAAAGATTTCAAAGCGACAAAGTTTTAATTCAAACTGTGTCTTGTTCACGCCAGTCCGCTGTTAATAATCTTTTTCATCGTCTATAATTCGTACCTTTTAAGTTACAGAAAATTAATAAAGAGCGATATCCTATTTTTTTATATGCGGATAGAAAATGTGACCATAAGACGTCACCAATAAAAATCCTTTGAACTAACTTATGAGTTTGTTGAAAAGAGACTTCTTCTATATTAATTTGAGCAGATTTCGATTAACTTCTTCGTTTTACATAAACGTTTTGCTAAAAAAAATCATTACACCTTTCTTAAAAGCTTGTACGTGGTAAGTATCGGCAAAGTCGAGAATAATAATATCGTTAACTTTCAATATTTCCACTGACACCTATCTTTGAATGTATGAAGTTTTCTCCTACAACCAAAAAAACCTCCTTTTTAAATAAACTGACTTATAAAGATCATTTAGATTTACATTTGATAAAACGAACAACATTGATTGAAGCAAATTTGCTATTAATCAAGTTAACTTTATTTCAATAAAGCCAGTCTGATTCCTTGTTAATTGCGAAGCACAATGGACTGAAAAATCAGATGCAACGGAGCTAGCCGTCTGGAATTGCAAATTTGCTGTAAACAACTAAATCAAATAAAAAAATCACCTTCGACGATTCCAATAATTAACTGGCTTTAAACAATAATGATTATATTAAAACATTTCTGAAATGCAACAAAATAATTCCAAGTGTTAAAACTGTTTACGAATTGAAAGCTTGACCGCTTTTAATTGTTCTATTTAAATACTCGGATGATTCATTAAGCCTTTGGCTGTTGATTCAAATTTCTCTCTCATCCACCCCACTGGCGATGATTTAAAACTCATTTATGTTCGGTTATTGGATCCACGTGCCACTTCAGAACCTATTATAACTGTTTGTGTATCGGAATAGTCAATATTGATGTCACACGATAACAAATAATATGCTTTTCATATATGTTTTTACAAGCTCTTATTCAACTTTAATTGAATATTCGGATTTTGGAAAAATCTTGAAATGCACGTTAAAAAAATCTCAAAAATTACACAAAAACTTTCTTTAGTTTAGGTTGGTAACAATTCGTATTAATTTTTAAACGTCATACTTTTTTCCAAAATGTCCAATCAACCATTTTTTAGAGATACAAATAAATATTAGTCCTGTCGATTAGCAACACATTTTTATTATTCCCCTTATATTTAATATAAATTATAATCCTTATATTTCTAATGTAATCGCGTTAAAAATGAGACTGGAGAAACTTTTCAAAAAAACTTGCACTATTATACTTCTATTCTAACAACGCTATTTAAATGGCGGTGAGCTAAAATAGAAATATTCATTTTAACAGCCACAAGAGATCCAAGAGTTATATGATTTATAATTTCAAAAGATTTTTCTGAATTAACTGAATTAGAATTATTTAATCTACGTATAATCAGCCTCAATAGTCAGATAATGCTTGTATGGTTAGAGGTATCATTTCATACATTCGTCATAGTCCTTAATTTTCTTATAGTCCTCAATCATCCATAGAATTAATAGTCCTTAATCATCTTTAGACAAAGAGTAATTTTGTGCTATTGAATTTATTTATTGTATTTTATCACCTTAACTCGTTGTCAAGAAGTTTCGCATTGGTAGCTACAGTCAGGGATGCAGACTTGAAATTCAATAAAAAGTTAAACTTCAAAATGTCTTTTCTCATGGAATAAAAAGATTAGTATAAACTGGTTTCATTAATGAACTGTTCTTATGAAGATTTACTATTTCATTTTCATATCAGAATTAAAAAAAATACATGTATTCAGAAATATATGTATTGATTCAGAATAAATTAACAAAATGTTATAGGTAGTAAACAAGATTTTGATTCCAGGGTTTAGGCCATGGACATATTAAAGTTTTTCCAAAAACACCTTATGTATACATTTTTGAATATTAATAATTAACTCTCTATATAAAAAAGTTTATTTTTCACCTTAAAATAGACGTTCATTTGTCAACATTGTCCGCCATGAAGCTTTGTTTAATTTTTTGTTTTTAAAGAGACTTTATTCGCCTTTTGTTAAAAATAATTGTTTCATATATATATTCTGCTGAAGTCAAAAATAAAATTACTTTTTGTATATAAAAAATATGCAACAATGCAATAAAAAAAAATTACTCTCCAATTTTCTAGGAACCGAAAATATCTAAATAAAGAATTACTGAAATCGATTTTATATGAGAATTTGAAATTAATATTATCTTCGAAATTCCTTGAACCACTTGCGATCATTTCAATAAGTAACACTAATCCTTGAAGAAAAACTATGGAAATTATATTAGTTTCAAGACTAAACCGATTTTTGATACATTTCATAAAGCGATAGATAGGTCTCCCGAGATAAATAGGACTACTGCCTCGATATCAAATACACTAAGCATGAATTGTTTAGCATTTGACATGGCATACATAACTGGCGTATTATTGTAGGGTTATATACTATGCATATTAAACAGTTATATCGAAGATGCACCAATTTTAGTAGTAAATAAATCGTACCTTTAGCGACAATTCATCGTACATGCACTTAATCAGACACGGATCTAATTGAAGTTAATTAAACCAGTCAAGATTCACAATATTCATGAAAATATTAATGCCGCTCGCTGGTTTAAGCGTGTAATATATTTTTTTGTTTTAATTTTATTGTATTATTCGAAAATGAATCAGCTTTAAGTATTTTAATTAACGCAGTGTCATCGTTTTTATTTTACGTCCCCAGTTGTATTGTTGCCAGAAATGCTTCAAAGGAGCTTGTTTATTATTGAAACGTCGATGCATTCATAAAATAGATAGCTCATAAGACTGTAATTTGTTGCAGTTATAATATGCATATTTTTGTGTTATTTTGTTGCTTTTGTTAGTTGTATGGTAATTCTGGTTTTCGTATCTGGTTGTGCCCTAGACGTGCCGGCGCCGTAATATTATGCAAGGTCGCTGTAATCGACTCTCAGCACTCCATGGTGTTTAACCCGACATTGTTTTATTTACGTATTACAATGTTGCTTATGGTTAGCGGTTTGGGGTTATGCGGGAAAAAGTCCCCATTTATTTACCCTCTGTAGATTAGATATTCTTTTGATTGACTTCAGGATTTATTTCAAAAGTAAGACACGCTGACTTTGTGACTTTCATCACTCAATTTATAAGCTCACTCATACTTTTTCTTAGATTTTTTTAGCAACTAAAATGAAAGCGTGCAATTTCACTTAAAATCGAATTCATACCTGAATTCTGTCTGAGATGAGTTTTCTGACCGGCATCAAACTAACTGTCGAACGCATAGCAACCCGGGCTAGTAACATTCCTCGCTCCATTTTTATTTTGACATAATTCCGTTTTCAATTCGCAGCAGCGTCGTCTTCGAGATTGGTGCGTAAAAGTCGCGTTAAGATTGGAGTTGTTGCGGGTCGGTTATTGTCGACTGTAACCAGTTTACGCCACAGCAGTGTAAAGAGATAAGGTTCTTTATGTGTGTAATCATTTTGTATTACGACGGACTCTGTCGCTCGTGAGTGTTATTAAGGCGTCCCGTCACCGGCTTTTATGCCGTGATTTTTAAAGTGCACAATGCGGCTGTAGCGTTGATGTGGCTGAATAAAGAAAAATTGTATTTGACGTTTATACAAATTGAAATTTTTCGCTTAGTCTTAGTATAATTAAGTTTTGCTTTTAGTTTTTTATTAAACAGCGAGTGTTCTCTGGCTTCATTTGAACGGAATGATTAAGAATTTAGTAAGTCACAGCTAATATGAATGACAACGGGTCCAGCTACTCGGCATTCATTTCCCCGGGCGCACCTCTCTTATAATAACTTACACGGTACCGACGCCTTAAGACACAAATATATATGTAGGATGAGGTACACGGGGACCATAACCACCATAGACAGCCGCGCGCTCACTCCATAACATATAATTGTATATTTTCAGCTAGCAAAGTAAATAAATTATTCCATTTATTACGTATCTTTTTATAAGGCGGAACGGCTTCTTTATAATGAAACGGGTGAATGTATATTTGGAGATTGAATAGAATAAAATTAGAGGAGGGCAACAATTTCGCCGTTTGAATTGCTGAGCTCCAAATACTTTTATACATATCTGATGAAGGTGCAGGCTTTGGCGCCCTATAATCCAGATTCGACCCTTGAATACAAGCGAACGAGCGGGTGGCCGAAGTTCTAGAGTGGCCCTTCAATCAGCCCTTCCTTGCGGGCATGCGCGGGGGTGGGTTCTGAGCGGAGGAGGGAGGGAGGGGGCGGTAGGGTAGAGGGGCGAGTCTGCCACGAGGACCTTTGAGCTCAGACTCTTTGACACGAGCCACTGGCGCACTCTTCAAGTAATGATTCATTCTGCTGATGACTGACGCTGCTAATGCCACCGTTTGCCCCTCTATAATATTTGGTTAAGGATTAAAAATGCGATCTCTTTGATTTATATCTTTGTGTAAGTCGTTTTGTTTCTATGCTCAGGAATATTTTCATTCTTTTATTAAATATATATGAAAGTTTTGTATGAACCGATAATTTTAATAAGTTGTCGATGGTGTGATATTTCTAGCAATAAACCGAGTATAATGCGTTTAAAATGTGTTCTATATCTAAATCAAGTATGGCACGGTGTACGCGCCGCCGCTTGGCGACAAAGATCCCATTGTGTTCGCAATCCGCCAATTATGTGAGACAATGGTGATTCTCTGGCGATTATAACTGACATTATATAAAAAAAATATCCGACCGATATTCAATATTATTAAAACCATCACTTAAATATCGTTGTATATTAATCCTTTAATTTCGTTTGTATATTTTTTTTTGATAGAAAATTTTAGAAAAAATATAAGTCGGTTGAATGTAAGAAAAATTTTGTATACGAAAAATATAAAAATCAAGCGAGCTCTAAGTCCGATATAGCGTAGCGTGTTCACATGTTTAAGTTTTCAGCGAGGTTCATAGCTTAGTGCGATGTGAATACAGTTTTTGGTGAATAATGCAACATTCATGGCATGATGTTTGCAATATTTCCAGTTTTGGTATACAGTGGCGCCATCGCTATAGAATATAATATATTCAGCTGGTATCACGAAGTCGGGTCGTTATCATGTCAAAGAAACTATCGTATTACCGGACTCAAAGACTGCGGTTTGTTTGAACCCGCTCACAGATATCAGGATATCTATTATAATAAAAACATTATTACTAAATATAAATAGCAAATAATAATATATTGTATAGATAACCTTTAAATCAATCAAATTGGAGATACTTTTGTCAATCGAACTTCTATCATTCAGTCAATTATTTTAATCAAATTATTTTATTTAACATTTTAAATCATTGATATATTAAAATATCGATTCTACACTTATTGTATTGTATCCATTTGTATACCAAATCTAATTATAGACAAATATATTTGTAAAATAAAATTAACAATTAGTCCATCTGCGACCAAGTTATCAAGATGCAAAATAAAAAACGTAGTATCAGAAAATTTTAGTCTTATTTTAACTTATGAAAAAACATGAAATAAAATGAACTAAAAAGAATAGTTTTGGGTTGTAATATTATTAATATTTTTAGTAATTTATCATTTTAATCTGATATAATGCATTTTATAAACTATTTTCCGTATGCCATGTATGTATAGCAATAGCTTATTCCGCACACAAAGCTTGACTCCGTCCCGTATCAAAGTATGAAATAACATTTCCTTAATATATCTCAAACGACGTTCTAGTTTATGTAAATTTTAGCACCCACTTAGAATATTTCTGTTACTATCAACTAATGTGATTTTATTTATATGTCTGTAAACTATTTCATATATTATTGGTTGAAGTATTATTTGTTTCTCTATTTTATTTTACCATCTGAAAATCGATTTAATACTTCAGATTAGGTAAAAGCAATAGAAAACTGGACAATATTTTGCAATCTATTTTTGTAATAAGCAGAAAGTTTTTTGATAGTTTACACATTACGTTTCAGTATTTCAGCTTAAATGTAACTAAAGTTATAATAAATTTTTTAACATCAAAAGAAAAAAGCCTACAAAATTTTATAAATTCGGCTAAGCTCTTAATGAACTGTAGCGGTGAAAGTATTAATTTCAACATTAATTTTGAGTAATTGTGCTCAGAAGTCAGATATTAACAATTTAAATTGTATTTATGTGGGCAGCGTTACCATTTTTGTAATTGGTATTAACGGTATCATGATGTATGGATATTAAAATTAATAGGGTACATCTAAATCTAATATAAAACATGATATATTGTAAACATTTGTATATACATGATTATAATTTATACCAGTTTTTAATGATTAGGCTTCATTAGCACTGGAATCGTGGAACAATTTGCAATATCAAAAGTAGGTAAATGTCAATTTCTTGGACAAATTATAATCTTGAGTATCGTATGGAAAGACGAAGGAGTTTCTCGAATGGAATAAAGACATTTATTTAATTATTATTACTTTTTTCTACGAAGTCTCTATATATTTTTATACCAGCACCTAAAGTAACAAAAAAATGCTAATATAATGTTTTCGTTTCAGGTAAGTGACATACATCACCTAATAATTAATTAAACCGGTAAGTTATTTACAGGCTTTGATGAATTAATAAATATACGAAGAAACTAAAATTATATTTGTATGAAAATTACAATTTTCATACCTAATACATATATTCAAAAAATCATATAGTAAACATTCCTTTAAATTAATTAATTCATTGCAAGCTTGTCAAATATTTTAAAAGATATATTTTTAATCAACTTTTTATAAGGAAACCTACTCACTAACTTGTATTCCAACACAATTACATAGAGTGGACAAACTGGGGCAGAGCTATAACTCAAAACGAAACTATCTATATTATTGAATGAAATTTGCATAGTATCAGTGTCACGCATACCTTTAGACGATTAGTTTCCCTAACCTTATAAGCCGAGTGCACATTATGGATCGAGGACGGACGGTCCCTTAGCCCCAGAGCACATTAAAGAATTAACCTCATACGTCCGTGGGTCAAGTGCTTTTGAATATCGATGAATATTCACAGTTATATTTTTGAATTGATTAAATATCTATATTGTTCTGGCAATATATTTCACTCTTCATTCCTGTTGCTAGATTAAGATCAGCCATTAGCTGATTCTTCCTAAGTTCAGTAAGACTTAAGCGAGTGCTAACGCAAAAAGGTGATTTAATCCGTCTTTGGAGTCTGTATAGATGAGGGGAGTGAATTAATATGAGAGCATAATATAAATAAGAATCACGTCTGTAATAAAGTGAAGGGAGCATTCCTCACACGTTTGAAGGATTATATTACAGCTCGGTCCGACTCGATCCTATGACCTTATTGCTTAGAAAATGATACGATTTTAAATATATTTTATATATAAATATATAAATTAACCTTCATTATGGTCCATAAAAATATTGATAATTGGACATTCAAATGATACTAAGAAGTTGTATGTCTTTTTTTTTCAATATTTTTACGATAAATGTATCTATAACATTTATTAGTAAATTATTTTTTTATTTTCATATCATTTCATTTGTATATCATGCGTGTAATGAAATAATTGAGGATATTTTTAGAACCGATTTAATATTTAAAATGAAACCTTTTATTATAGAGATTAAATGATTTGAAGATACTCTTAAATGGCCTTTGGAATAAGCTCGAAAATTATTCATTTTATTTGATAAACACGATTTAAAATTGTTATCGTTCAACGTATTTAAAATGTTTTTATATAAAAACATTAGAATTATTGTCATACATAGAGTTTTATGGGTATCACATCTATATAATGAAAATAATATAAATATTACTTTATATTTTTTTGATGTATAATTCGAGTAATAAGGCAAAGGAATTGAAATGCAGAAACATTACATTTTATAGGCCGTCAATAGAATATTTTTAAAATTTTGTATCTCAATATTTAATGTCTCTAAAAACGGTAAAACCTGAGTAATTAAGACTGAGCTATAATTTATTGATTTACATTAATAATAGTAATTTAAATTTAACTTAATTTATAATTAAATAATGTCGTAGTTTTATTTGAATGAAGAAAACAAAATTTTACAAAATTACTTTCTATATAAATATCTATGAAAAAATATATTTTTTTAAACATGCTGTAGTTTTAGAATACTTTAAGAAATACGAGACAGCTAACAAGAATAGAAGTACTAGTGATTCGTTTAAAACTATACTATTCTATACTAGGTAGTTTTAAAATACAATTCAATTTATTGCTACGGCTTAATCTACGAGCTACGTCGTAGCGGTGCTACGGAATCATATTTCTCAAAACTTACATCAAGACTTGAATGATATTAGATACTTTATAAAAATTAGTATCATATATCATTTTATTTTGAATCATATGTTATAGTAATTAAGAGTTTATTTGCAATGTAGCCATTAGTTTGTTAATTATTCGGTGGCAGAGACCGCGCCCGCCTGGAGCCGCTGATACGGTTTGCTTCGTATTTGGCTTCCCTCATATTTCCTTACAAATGTCACAGTTAAAATACAGTTTGTACAACACGTTAATACCAAAATGAAGTATACGACTATTAATGTACTTCAGTTTCTTTAAATATTTTTTGAGAATTAACTGTACAGTTTGATTGAAGTCAGACTATCGAGTAAGTGAAGTACAAAATGAAGTTGAGCGTTCTTCATTCCGACACGTCCCGGCATCTCGTGTGTCGCAACAGACTGTAAGATAATTTATTCACGTATAGAGCCGACCAACTTAGATTGGTCTTAGAGGCTGTTGTCAGCGAGTGTTATGCTTAATGAACTTAAACACGTCCCGAGCAACGAACTAACTTAATGTATAACAAATTTTATTGTATCAACACTTTGGGGCCTGCATTTAACTATTCATACGACGCTTGATGACATTTAAAAGGGATCATCATAAACTAGTTATAACTACTTATATACTAGTTTTTGTTCGCGACTTCGTCCTATTCAATCTCAGAATTAGTATGTATAGATCGGGAAATTCTATTCAACTATAGAGACAGTAAATAAGTAGACTTTGAATTTGATTCGTGGTGATCGTGTTAAAAAGTTCCTATGTCAGTCTCCTGGTTTTAAACTACCTGCCAACTAGTTTTCAGCCATATCGGTACAGCCGTTCTTGAGTTATAAAGACTGTAAATAATTATTTTAAATTCTTATATACATATAGCAATTACAAATGTACGTCTATTTCATTTGTTTTTATAACGAATGAGAATACTGAAATAGAATTCAATATTTTTAATCCCACATATATAACTTAAATGTTTATTCAAATCTTCAAACTTATAATTCATGTTTATAAAAATGGTTAATTGTATGGTTATAAATTGTTTTTCTGGCTCGAACGCTACAATTATATGTATAATTATATTATTATTTATTTAACTTTTCCACGCACTAGAAGCACATATGCAAATATTATGGTAATATAAAAAAAAAACATTAAAATTCTATATAATTTATAAACAAGTGTAAGAATTGATTTAGTAATACGATTTCCAAGCACACGACACTAACGGCTAAGCAATGTATATTTGTCTGAGTTACCATCTGGCAAGTTTAATAATGTATGAAAACAACCATTCCAGTGAACCGCACTAGTATAAATTGATAGTTTTACTGGTTACTTTACAGCAAGTTTGTAAGCATGCTCTAACAACGTTTAAAGTTCCACCGGCCAGCTAAAAGGCCATTACAGCTAAGGGTATATGAATTATTTGTTAGCCGGACACGCGACGGCAAGTAATAGGGTGAAATTATTGTGTCAGATACGATCCCACGATCCCAGGACGGCTGTAAACTTCTATCTAATTTTCGCGCATGAATAAAATAAGCCCGACAAATTTGTATAAGCAACTTATATGGAATGAGCCAATTAAACCCGGTTATACATAATCGTATTATTTAATGAAGCATATGTAATTATATTAACGGCTTCCATGTCAACCGTGTGATGGTTAAATAGTAATGTATGTCTACGTGTTAGTAATTAAAGATTTAAAACAGGCGCCGGCTCGGCTGAAAGCGACAGTTAGCGTGCGGTGTACGTTAGTTACTTATAACATACAAGCAATCAAACTTTATTATTCAGTGAAGCTCGATATGTGTTTCGTATTCAATATAAATTTAATTTATATTAATTCCCTTAAATTTAATGCGAAATAAATCGAATCTATACTAATATTAACCTTAAAAAACCTTTAGAACAGAAATAATATTTTAGATACAAACCCAAATGAATGCTCGAAAATAGTTTTAGATCTATGTAAGGTAAATATGCTATCTCTAAGCGTTCAGTTTTATTCCTAAAATTTCGCGTTACAAAAATACAATTTAAATTTTGCCAAAATTTAAAATCCTACCTACAGTTGTGTTCTGAGATAATATTTAAAAGAATAATTAAAATTCTCACCATGCAATTGTTCAAAATTATTATAAAATGACTATCAGCTACTAAGATCACAGTTAATACAAATGACGTTTTAGTTCATAGTAGATTATCTTCTGAAATATATTCCTTACAATAATAACTTATATCTCTAAGCTTTCTGTTTTATAAGAACCATTAATAAATTTTGTTATTATGTTTCGTTTTAAAGCGTTATTCTTATAACAAACTATCATATAATATTTAAAATAAAATTAACATCAGAATTCATTTTAAGATACATCAACTACATTGCTTTTTATTTATTTTAAACAAAAATGTATTTAAAATTTTCCTATACATTTTTCGGTTGGAGATATTTTCAAGTATTTCATAGTAGATGCTGTCTGTATGGTCAAGTTTTCGTAAAGCGACGAATATGACGATTAACGTATTGCTGGAGCGTTATGCTGAGAATGTTCAGTGAATTCCTCGTAAAATATGCCGTGAAAGCCTTCGGAACATGGATGTAATAGCAGGAATATTATTCTATGAAGTAAGCGCCTCAATATTCACTTAATAGACTGTCGAATTTTCTTTGTCGTTAAATACAATGAATGATCCCTTTAAGAAAAGTATAGAAAGACTTATTGAACAAAATCTTTTATCACGCTTACAGTAATTATTTTATAATAATACTTTATTTATTTCAAGTGAGTCCGTATCTATTCTATTGTTTTTTTTTTTTTAAATTAATAATCAGTTAGTTTTAACGGCATTACTAACTGAAATATATAATTCACAAATTTTTAATTTTGTAGCTTTTGATGATAGACCACAGAGTTACAAAATTTGTGAGACATATCACAAGTTCTTAACAAAAATGAATTTAAGACGTATTTTTCATATTTTCAGTACATGAAAATTTTAGGGACAAAAAAAACAAAATTCTGTAGATGTTTTCTTTAACTCGCCAAGAAAGCTCTAATTGCATGCAGACTTATTTAAAACAAAGGCTGGTATCTCTGTAACCGGTGCAAACGATGTCTGAAACACAAATTAAAGTATTATCTCTATGTTTCATGGTGAGTCATGCGGTTTCTCTAAGAAAGAAATGCTCTCATCGCCACATACCGTTCTATCCCTTTGTTTATAAAATAATCACAATAACATAAAATTTATACAAAAATATTTGGTATACAGTAATGGTTGATTGTCATGTCATCAGCCTATCAGAGCTGCCTGCTGAGCAAAGGCCTCTTTCTCACATGGAGAAGGTTTGAGAATTAATCACCACGCTTGCTCAACACGGGTTGGTGATTTCAAACTTAAGATTGTGAAATTATAAGTCCAGGTTTCCTCACGATGTTTTCCTTCACCGTATGTCAGTAATGTCTAAATACTCTTAGAATGGTTGATTAGTCTATTGAAAAAGGTGTCATATATAAGCCTTTTCATTTAATATCCTAGCTGATCAGTTACAAACTATCTAGCACAGTGTAAGCACTGCTTTACCCCAAATTGTATCCAAACGATATTGCAGAATTCTTATAGTGTAAAGAATGAATGCGCACTGTAAAAATTAAAAGCAAAAAACAATATAAAACTTTTACATTGTTCTTAATGCTTGACCTATTTTTATGATGCAGTAGGCTTTACAGAATATAGCGATTTTAGGGACTTTTTTATCCGTTATCTCAAGCTTAATGAAAATTTTATTAATTGGTAATTTGGTACTACGACGAAAATTGAATTATTATGTTTTTTATACATATATTTCATAAAAATAATATTAGCCAGTTAAATATTTTAAGTGATATGTTATGATAACAAAGTAATCCGACTAACGGTCCTCTCTTTAGGAGTCACCATTAAGGGTATATTGGATATTGAAATGGCTATACAATATTCTAAGCCAATTAGCTGGTCATTTTTGCAATGGCACGGCACTCGCCGACACAAGCTAAGCTCGTATAAGCCGGTTATACTCGCAACGAATCTAATTAAAGGACACTGTGTTTGTCCGAAATGCTGACAGTTACCATTGTTTTTTCCTCCGCGTAACCATTTCAAAGGCTGCTTTAATTGGTCTGTTTGTTACGAAGGTTTTAAACTCCTGACAACAAAAAGAAAGAGTTGAAACACAAATGTGACCAAGTAATGCAACAACCACAGTCGCTCAAAATTAATACGATTGTTTTGTTCTCCCTTGGTAAATTTATTCCTTGTTTAGAATAATGAAACGGGAGCGTATACGCTCAGGGAAATCCATTCTCAAACAATTTAAGATGGAGTCCTCTAATGTGCTACAATTTTTCGTCGAAATGTATATTCGGAACGGACGGTATTTTATCCCGTTGTATTAATGTTTGCTCATATCACGAACATCGCATTGTAAGGTGCATTTCATATGATGATAATTATTATTCGACTTATCATAATTTCTCTTTACCCTCTTGGTTCTATCATTTGTAAGTAGCTGATGATGTACTTGTAGAATATCAATCGCTTCAATAAAATACCGCATTCGCTTATAACATGCGAGGTTACTCCGGAGCACGCTTCAGTCAACAACGTTAAGTAAAAGAGTTTCGTGCGCTGTAATTTAGTAGAGAGCATTGAAATATTCGTGTTTAATCTGAATAACATGCCGATATGAACAACGGGGGAAGGAAACATTAGGGTGTATTATATACTATATTAACCGTTTTGGAAGCCACTCCGATATTTCTTGTGATACGTAACGATTTTTTTAAATAAGTCACTTGAAATCTTGGATTAACTTAATATAAAATTTTGATAATTATCTCCATTTGTATTTGTGATAGAATAAATTTGCTTCATTTGGAATACTTGTTAGTTTTAAAAATTACGCAAATATCACAAAATAGTTTTTAGTTTTCAATTATTCGTCAAACAATAATGTAAGCTATATATAGTATATAAAACGTTAAAAGTTTGTGAGTGTAAGTTTAAAGTCGGATCTAAGTTCTCAGAAGCCGCTGTCCCCAGCCCACTTCAGAGGCAAGGGCGTAAAAATGAAAAAGATAACAAATAAACTTGACATCCGACCCGCAAATACATTTCTGTCAAAGTGTGTGCCCTAAAAGCTATCTCTGCTCAAAGTAATACGCATTCGATGTTGCGGTGACTTCAATATCACCAGGACCTTTATAATGTAATTTGTCCCTCTCCACTTTCTTTCCCCGAAACTTAAGGTTTTATTGAAATATTGAATATCAAGTGGAGTCGTTTCTGTTATGATTTTTTATCAAAAATATTTCAGTAGACAATTTCGCTTTGAATATGAAAATTGTTTTGTATAGCACAGAATTTATCCCGTGGTTTCTCTCCCATGTTAAAATTTTCTTTTCATACCAATGTGATGGTAGATTAAAAATATATAGACTAAGATCAAAGTAAATTAGACTAAGATTAAATAGATCGAAGGTTTAAAATTGAATAAACAAAACGTCTTACGATACTATATAGATGAGTTATCATTAGGTATTTCAATATTGTGTTTAGAGTTGAATATTTTACGGTTTCTATAAAAAACATTGTTTCCCAAGTGAGCTGATTTGTAACAGGAATAAACTCCGTGAATGTATCTTGCGGCTTCCATTCGACCGCGGAATCTGATACCGGGCACTAGACTGGTGTAGATATCTTTTCCCAGACGCGAATAGACGGCTAGAATTATAGATATTATAACGATAAATGATACGCATATTAACTTGCAATATTATGAACCGTCAACAAATACTTGTTTCATACTCAAACAATTAATAAGTCGGTATTTTAGATCAACTTCTGAAACAAAAATGTATGATTTAATCAATTATAGTTACAAAGTGAAGCACTACAACATATAATTTAGTTTCATAAGAAACTAGTGAAACTAGTGAACAAAACGTATAAGAAATACAATCAACATTTTTCTTTCACATCCACAAATATTCGCGTTATTTTTAGTTAGCGTGCACTGCAAAAAATATCCCGCTCACCTATCTCCATTCCGTTTGAAATTACGGAAAGCTTTGCTTAAAATATAAAAAAAATGGTGGCGAAGACAAATTTGATCGCATGCCTCAGAGCAAACCACTCAACTAGTGAAAAATTTCTTTGCTTTTATTTGTAGACGAGCTGACACTCGATCGGTTACGCTGGTGTCACTTCGCCGACTTGATTTATGCGACCAATATGGCGGTGGATGTCACTCCGCTCCTATATCCAACGGCTCATATTATCCATATATGACCGCTTCATTTCCATGCAAAATATTCAACGATTGCAAGCGTAATAACTTTCTCGATTCTCCTATCACACCCATACAATTTAAGGTTCAATCAAAATGTTATAATTATTTAATGTGTCTACGACGTTTGTTTTACTTTGATTAAAATAAAAACTTCTTTAACCTCATAATGTAGTTTGCTTAGTTTTGGCTTCTAATAACGGTTATCCAATTTATAATTTCATATGTACAAACAAAGCAGCGACGTTATTGTGTTGTATCACAATAACACAGACGAATCCCTATATTAGGTATATAAATCTCTGCTCGTGTAATTACAATAATATAATTTACGTACTAGTCTGTCTAGATAGCTGCAGTTGCATGTGACACAATCTAGAACACGCTCCGCTGATAGTTTTTACTCTATTAAACAACACCCTATTGTATAGAATGAGAGCCCTTTTAAATGCATATAAGTATCAAAGGATTCGTTTAAAAAAAACTACTGGATACTCGATATAAAGGTGAAGGAAAATTATATGCTTTTGAAGCATGGCAAAAATTTTCCATAAGGATACAAAGGAAGACATAAGTAGGTGGTTCGGAGGACACCTCCGGGCCCTCCAACCTCTAAGTAGGTCGAATAATATGACGGGCCTTTGAGTGCACTCGGAACCCTCCCACTGAGTACCACTCGTGAATACTCCTTACTAAAATCGCTCGATTTGGCATGATTTTAAAATGCCGATAATAAAATACATTCTATGTTATTTAATTTATTATACGAGACTACTTGGCTTTGATTCGAGATACCTCAGGTTCCTTTTTGTTCTCCTTCATTATTAACCAACTAAAAAATTGGGTTTTCTTTTCGATTGTGTATCATTTTCAAGGAAATTCCGGCTTAACTTTGATGTTGTATGAAATAATTGAACGCATAAGTTACTTCTAAGTCATTTTGTATGAAACAAATGTTCTATATGAAGAGTTTTATTCATCTCTTAACAGTTTTAAGACATTATTTTTCTATTTATTTCTCTTTAAGAAAATATTACATATAACTAATAACATCGCCGTCCACATAAAAGAAAAATGAAAAATCGATTTTAATTAAATTAAACTGTTCAATTTGTTAACACTTGATACTAGTAATAAAGTAAAAAATACTAGTAAATAGTAGACTTATATATATTTAAGTTGTATTTTGTTAATCATCCTTAATGTTCCTAGATACTTCTTAATGACTTACGTAAACTACATTCGTATTCATTAAATTTGCTATACGAAGAATAATTTCCCTTCAATAATCATTCATCACATCCCACGGAAAACCGCTACTAGGTTCGACATTTTTTATGGTTCACTCGTACTGAACGAACTCGAAAACTGCTCTCAGACATCAGAATGAATTATGTACTCGAGTTTCGGAAAACTAATTGATTTGGAATAAGCACGCGTGAATATATACGTAAATTGCTCTTGATATTAAAACTATAATATATTAATTGATAATATAATTTAAACTTATTTTATCGATATTAAGTTTAATTTGTTTTTAATTTTAAATGACTTTACATTTTCCTATCGATACTTTTTTTTTATCGATAGTATTAATAAATTCAATATAATATTCCATTAACATCGTTAAGGCTCTGTGTGATATATCGATAACAGCGCAGGCGGTTTCATCGTACGGCTGTCACACAGATTGGACACGCACATCCCTCACCCGGTCTGACGGACCGACTGAATTGAGAAATTGAAACGCGTAATCACGAATAACTCTTGTTTGAGTGTCGAAGATTGCCTTAACCTATCTCATAAATTACAAACAGAAAAACATTTTCACCGCCCATTCTATTTGAATTATATTAACAATCATTTCAGTCTTAATGTTTGGTCAAAACTTAGTATATGAAATCTATTTTCATACAAATTTATATGTAACTAAAAAAATATTCTAAATTCGTAAGCTTTGTAGACGATAGCTTTATATTCTGACGACAAATAGTTTTAGCTCGTGCAGACTTGATATAGAAATACGTTGGTGGCTTTCGTCTTTCACATTGTTCAGCAAATAAGCCTAGTGGGTGGACAAAGGCATGTCGTGACGACAAGCACGTAAGGGCTCGCTTCCGCCGCGCCAGCACTCTCAGGCCGAGGTGGCTCGAGGTGGCTCGAGGTGCTCGAGCCGCTTGCTCGAGTCTCGCCACGAGTACCTGTCGAGCCGAACGCTGACGAAGCCCAACGAACGCCTCACATTATTAGACTGCGCATCTCTAGAATGAAATACTACGAATTATAAAACTATACGCCACATATAAAACATATTATAAACTTTACAGTTTAGACTTTCTTTAATCTATTTTGCTTCAACATCATAATACATAATACATTTTTTCTATTTAATAATATTACTTGATGCAAGATTTTAATTTACGTGGTGAAAACGTTATTTAAAATTTTAATAAAATAACTATAGTTTGTCAGCAACAATCTCGCTTAACAAAAACTTTTACACTACGGTTTGTGATGAGATGTTGAACCACCGACCTCGGGCGAGTACGGATAAATACGACACTTACAAGATTCTTAATTAAATGTTAAACTCAAAACTCAGACTAACTGGAAGCCGTAAAAACGTCTGCAGTTAGAACAAAAAATATATAAATGTAATTTACCAAACAAATGTACGTATGCTATTTAAAAACTCTTTGAACGTTGCATACGTTTAAATGCTCAAACGTGAACATTTGATATTCCAAATTAGTATTTGTTCCGGAGGCTCTGGTAGGATATAACTCAATTAGCTTTTACATACAAGAGTTCCGGACGTGAAACGCGGTTATCACAATTACCTAATATTCTGAAAGCTAACTAGCTAAGTACAGAATATAACGAGATATATTTAAACAAGCTACTTTTTGAAATAATCTTTATAATTCTAATATCAATTAGTCCATAAATTAATTATGGTTTTGTCTGTAAAATAATACAACAGTATTTATTTAGTAGTCGAATTATTACTACAATTTGACATACAAAACTTCTAGACAACGTAAATTATTGTAAGAAAACAACAGTAGCGTCGTTATAGAAGTGGAAAAACAATAATGTGTGTTTTGAAAACTCGATAACTTCCATTAGATTGTCCTTATTATTAGCAGTTAATTTTCTACGGTTGTCTTTTTAAGAAAAGTTGGTAGAAACCGATCGGGGTGCAGCGACCCGCTGTGCTAAGCGGGGGGCCGTAACACACCCGCCTAATGGAACCCACCGCTCACTGGGGGGTTATTACACGCCGCTCTTATCGAAGCCAAGACTTTCTTAATAACGCAACATTTTACAACCATTTGAACACAACGTCCTTCTTTTAAAACAAACTCATAAATACAAAACATTAGAAACGTTTCTGAGACAATTAGATATAGATAATTTATGCGTTAAATTAATGCTTGGATTTCATCGTGATGGAGGTATGGAAAACCTATATAACATTATTTCTATTTTAAAATATTACTTTTTTTTTTACTTTCTCATTTAAACCGGAATGATTTCATCATATATTAGGGTAATTTGAACATTTAACATTTCAACGCAATAATAACATTCGCATAAACATATCAAGAAATTTTATTTCCTTATTTCATTTCTATCAAGATATAAAACGTTTGGCGAAGAAAAACCAACTTCATTCATCACAGCAACATAAAATAAAATATAAGAACAACACACATGAAACAATGCACCCTATGTTCTGAGATGTAGAGCTGCGAATCACTTAAACAACTCGTTACTTAATTCTTTCACAATGATGTTTCACAGCCACTTAAAACTTTTCAGCAATAACAAATCTCTTCCAAAAGTCTATTTGACAAAGTTGGACTATTAAATTATTTGTCGGAAGACAGAGTAGGTCTTTTAAAAGTTGACGGCACGCAAAGCGCATAAAAGGATGAGGTAGTGGTTTTGTAACTTGATCCTATAAAAACATGACGCACAAAATGAAAATAGGATTATTTGCCTCAAGTTACTCAGCTGCGAACGCGATTCACGCTGCGGAGAGGCTTTGTTTAAAAAAATATAAAAAACATTTTGTTAAATTATGGCCAGATCACTTTATTATATTTAACAATTATTTATCGTTAGATTTTATTCTAAATATATATTCAAATAACATGATATTTCTGGTATTTAATGAACATATATATATACATATATAGGTACATACAATAAGTCAACATGAGCACAAAGACACTGTGCAGCTCGACGTTTGAATGATTAGGTTCCGAGCACAAAAACACATGTAAGGGTTGATATATTAACAAAAACCAGTAACGTATTTATTTAATTACTAGCTCAGCGGTTGACAAATCTACTTACTGAAGCCCGTATTATATTCAGTTGTTCGCAAGTCTGAGACCAATCAATTACTCACAAGTCCGCTGGGAAGTTGATTACTGTGCCCCTGATGTGTATCGAAAATCTTCCGAGTCTTTTAATAAACAACGCCTCTGATGTCTCGGCTCATCTGAATATTGATTAATCTATAGAATTTCGCAGCACATTAACATTAATCATCAACTCGGAAATCTCAGAATGATTAGCTTTATATAACATGTGGAAAATCATAAACACATTGTTAAATATTTCCCAAAGTTGACGACCCAGTTTTAATAAATTTGGTCGAGGCAGTTAACAAATAAAGTTGTATTGAAAAGGCGCCAAAGATCCCTTATCTCAGCAACAACTGTTTTAAATAACGATCCTGAGTGTAACCCCATCGCAGAGGTTCTTTGATGTCCTTTAATTATAAAAGTTTTTCTCTGAACATTTTAATACCATTAGCGGGGCCAAGAACACGGTTGACCGCAAACATGACTTAGCAAACACACTTGTATGATAAAATAATTATTTAACTACAATAAAATCACCACAATTGTCTAATGATGGAATTTATTCATATAAAATCTAGATATGAATACTAGGTTTCATAACATGCATTTAGGCTTGATTCGGCTATAAATTTCATGTTGATTTAACTTGCCAGGGTTCCACTAAATCAATGCTAGGCTAATCTGAATTCCCAGCACAGGATACTTGTTCTTCTGAATAAACTCGGAGATACCATGAGATGGTTATTTATTGTCTACCAACTATTTTATATTCACATCGTCTTTTACATCATATTGCGTCAACTGCTTAAAGTTCATATGTGAACATTTCCTTACAAACTACCAGATTGTTCTGTATATAAATCAGATAGAACTCACTCTCGTGCCCTTGTTACTTGTTATAACAAATAACATTCATATTGCCAAATTAATTAAAATCATAATTCTGTCAGATATTTCATGAATACAATATAAAATCTATGCTACAAGGATCTGAATGCAAATCTTCGTCGTCCGTCTCTTTGAAGTATTTAAGTGAGAAATCGTACAATGGTATCCAAATAAAGGGCAGAAGAAAATAGAATGGCATAGCCACCAGCTAAGTAGGGCGCAGTGGGCCGGGCTTATCGATCAGCCGCTAAAACAAGCACACCGTCCGTCTAACCTAGCACACCCTATATAGAGCCTACCTGCTTCTACCATTTGTACATGACCTAATAACTAAACCCCCATACATCCAAACATTACCATTTAAGCCCCTATTTGTTTCGTGATTTACTTCGCCTTATATTTGTAATATTCATGAAACTTATATCGACGGCACCATGTTAAAGGGTAGTCTTGTAAATAATACAAAAAGGTTAACTTCACTGTTTCGCTTCCATAATGAAATGAACTGGTAAGAACGGGGGGTTCCCGAAACGTCTCAGATTACTAATTGATGTGAAATTTATTTAGGTAAAGGAATTTCTCCATTTTTGCCAATGTGATGAATGATCCAAGATAAACATTTAGACACAGAGCAAATCAAACTTGCGAACTGGCGAACTTTTAATGCTTTTAACATGAGTATTTACTTAACCTTCGGTTACTGTTTAATTATAGCTATGTTTAATTTTGTAGCTCTCGTTAATCGTTCATTCGTTAGAAGATTCGCTACACAAGACATCTGCGCGTTTTACGTCCCAATTAATTATCACAAAGAACGGTCGTTTTATTTTGATCACTTACACAGGTAGGTAATGTTAATTCGCGTCAAATCGAGGCAGCCGTTTAAGTGCGACGTTAAAGATTTCTTGCCAATGTCATTAATGTTCGTATGCACTCAGGCTATACATTAAAAGCACTGCAGCGAACGCTGACGGAATGCGACCGTAAAACCTTTATAACATCCTTCCAGTACTTGTAAAGCGTTTTTGAAAACCTCCCCTTTTTATGCGGCCAACGCTATCAAGAGGTTTCATGTGTCATAAAGATTAGAACATTTACTGCATTCTATGAGATCATTAAAAAAGAACTAATGTAATTAAAACATGTCACACACACGCGTAATATATACGCTTTAAACATTTTTGATGCTAGTGAAACTCGATATTATTATAGGTAAGGAGGTAGATTTTAATAATGTTTGTTTTCAAACTAAGTCATACGAATGATTGGACATCTCAAACCGTATATGTATGTAAAGCCGGAACATAAGTAAACGTCGCATTATGACAACAATTTTGTACGAGAGAGGCGGGCGTCGAGCCAAAGAACCGCACTCAACTCTTGACATACGCACAAGAACAAATACGAACAAATCCCTACTATAATATTATAAATGCGAAAGTAACTCTGTCTGTCTGTCTGTCTGTCTGCTACGCTTTCACGCCTAAACCACTGAACTGATTTTAATGAAATTCGGTACAGAGATAGAGTTGACCTTGAGAAAGAACATAGGATAGTTTTATCCCAGACTTTTGAAAGGTTCTCTTGGAAACGCGATATAACCGAACTCCACGCGGCGAAGCTGCGGGCGGAAAGCTAGTATATAATATAATTGCAACTAAATATTATAGCTAAGGAATTGGTAATACTCATCGAGTTCTAATATTTCCATTATCTATTGTTATGATAAGCGAATTAGTGCAAATTGTGATTTAAGTTTTATGGGTAAGTTTGATCATAGCGCCGTCGAGTTTTACTGCTTCGGGTGCATACGGTTTATAGCGTTTCCGACGACATTGTCAACAGATCTTGCGACTCTCTTTACGTTACTTTAACGGTTTTATAGTTTCGTCGTTCCGTCGCGCTGGCGGTCACAGCTCCTTAATAGCCCCCGCTAAGTGCCCGCTCGGGGCGCCCCCGAATATACATATATGTTATTCCCATGTACCAACCCTAGATTTCCATCTTTACGATATAGTTTTACTTTTTGTTTTATACGCCATTAGACCATCGCTATTAAAGGTTGTGACTCTCGCTTTTTACGAGCTTCAATTACATGAGATGAGAATCGAGGCATATCTTAAAGTTTGAGCTGTAAATTAAATACTATATCTATATAAACATGACGTATATTTGAATGAGTGTTTGGAAACCATATCGGTAAACCAATAAGCAACATTAGTTTAACACTAGCAGGGCTTCTTTAATTAATTCTATAACGGCGTTGCAGCACAGCGTCAACTGCACCCTAACATTATTAATTCTCAACTCTAATTAATTATTAACATGTGGACATAACACATTAATCAAAGAGGCCATAGCCGCCACTAGTGGCTGTGCAGACAACATTTCTTAAACGCCAATATAGTTTAGTGGTTATGTCTCGATTTAACGATTGAAGAAACGCTTTTCCTGATTAAATACAAACAAATAGATATATAAGAAAATATTTTATATATAATATGTGTTGAATAAACATTATTATTAAAGCAATCGCTTCGAGAAAGATTTATAAAATCTATTCGTATCGTCGATAAAAATCTAATAATCGTCTATCGTAGCACCAACACCGACTGAATTATTTATGGCCATACAATAGAAGACTATATTTTGTATATGTACTGATACAGGCCTCCGTCGGTCTTGAATTAAACAATGACTTACGATATCATAAAAATATACAAGATAATAACCGTCTTCCAAAATGCTTTAAACGTTCAAATGTCAAAGTTGACACTATTGGACTTTCATTGGTTCGGAATAAATTCGACTTGCATTATATATTTGTATGGAGTATGTTGTTGCCTTATGCAATATTTAGTCGCTTGATTAAAGCATGTTGCCTTCACGATGCAGAGCGTCGCAGGCTGCTTTTGAAATGTCGTCTGAAAGGATTTCTTGCCAACTAACTGAGGAATATTTCAAGTATCCGCCGAAATTATAGACCATGCTTATTTACAGCCGGATTACATGAAAGCCAACAACATTAGTCGCTTGTGAAAACAGCGTTCTATATTTCTTGAAATATTTATTTCCTAGATTTTGAATGAGGTGAATGTTTTATTTGAACAGAATTAAGTGTATACAAGAAGATATATAATCGCACGTTAAGTACTAACAAAGCAATGAACAAACAGGCAAACATTTTTATATTAAAAGTATTTTAACTGATAGATCTTCTCGTTAGTATAAAATACTATGTACGTTAGTTACTACATTTAAATGAATATTCGCGAAAGTCTTAGATTTCATAATTTACTACTTTCTCTAATCTCTTGATAATTGATTAAAGTCTCTTAGACACATTATATTACATCATATATTATCTATATAAAAATACATATATATATATAAACAAAATCCCATAGTTACTAAAGACAGTATACATATAAAAAGAAAAACTGTTCCAGTTCATTTGAAGATTTGTACGAATAAAAAGCGCAAACTCGTCAACACATAGAATCATTATCACCAACGCATTCGAAGTTTAATACTGATATAAATGAAGTAACACTATCAAATAGTATGATCACGTAGGGGTAGTTATGACGTTTGGAGCAACAAGTCAGGCGCCAGCCAGGCGGCCGTGGCTGGAAATATAAATCTGGCTGTGATGAGCTAAGGCGTAAATTACACATATAACATATTATATTTGAATATATACGACAATGAACACTCGCAACGACGGCTTTACACAATATGACATATTAGTATGACACAAGTACATATATTATGTCATTTACATAAATACATATATTCTGTTAATGATAACTCTTTGATTGTATTAACTTTTTTCTATTAGTTGAATAATAAATGAATGAATATAGCCACGATATTAATATACGTATCTGAGAATTCGCTTAATTTATAAACAATAAATGAATATGATAAAACGATGGCACGCAACAAGTAGGTCGGAAAATCGGCGCCTGAACAGTCTACCAAATAAACTGCCAGGCAGATTGCCACAATCTCCAGGAATGAGCAATTTAATATTTAAAAATACTTTAGTGTCATTTATATTTTTGATATTGTACAATGATATATTTAAAGTCAATTTCAATATTTCTTTCCCTTTTAATGAAACAAAAACAATACGGTATTAATTATTTTAAAAAGATTATTGTGTCATTTAATTCATAATTATTACTTTAAATTAAAAACGAATGTTAAAATATATTTTAGTATTAATTTTCCTTAACAAATAACTTTAGTTCTACGACGCTACGGTTTACTACGAACAGTCGTTAACTTACATTAATTTGTCAAAGTTACATTCTTACATCCAGCTTATAATTATACTGAAATGAATGAAAATAAATGAAAATCAAACTGTCCTTCAAAATATTTCAAATTGAAAAACGAAATAGAAACACGGCAAATTGCAGAATCTCTATGATAAAGGAACTTCCATTCGCACAATGTATCATACGTATTGTCAACTATAATGGGACAAAAGAGGAATCGTGGACATATAAATGTGAGACTGGAGGCATGACGATCCAGGGTCCCATGAAGGCTGGGGCGACGTAATAGCCGTCCACTTCCGCTTTATTAAATTTCATAGCAAATACACTTTTATAGCCGGCCAATGATCTTTGAGGGTATTGTCTCTGTGTACGCAAATAACGGGGGAAATGGAAACTTTTATGGTACCTGCAGACTTGAATTCTCATCTATACCTCTTTACGATGACTATATTGTTTGAAGGCTTGAACAAGCATAGAAAAAACGTTATATTATTATATTATAATTTGTCCATTACAAATCCTTCGTGTAAGTCACATTGTATAGTTAATATTCTTAATATAGAAAAAGAAATCGGAAAATTAATTCAATACTTCATGGAAGTGTAAGCATCCATTCATCTTCACAAACCTATAGCGTAAATTGATTATTAAATTGATCAAACTTGTATTAATATCAATGGTAGAATCAAATTCTGTATGAAACAAATGTTTAAACAGCTTGTACTAGAACAAGCGCCATACGATCCTACCTTTTCACCTATCGGTTCATAATGAAGTTGTACCAAGTAATGACACACGCGTCACTTACTTTAACCAGATACTTATAGTCATGGAAATTGATTAGATATAAAATCTTGCTTAAGTAAAATTTTAAAGACTTGTAAGTAAAAATATAAACGCTAAATTAGGAACTAGTATTATAATATGCTAATATAATGATACTAAGCTATATATACTTCAATAGTGTTTAAAGAGTTCATAAAATCATTTGATGTCATATACAATGTCACACTAAATAAATCGCCTACAAAATATTTAAAAACAGCTAGCGAGAAGCGCTTTAAATTTATTATGACAATATTTGACAGCATTTTCCGATGTTAGTATTAAAACAAGGTCTTTATAAGTTGTAATGTAATTTCGTGAGTGTGAGTGTGACGTAGTTGAGTCAGTGTACCCTCTCGATACAGATTTTGAGCTTGAGGTCTTAGCGATCCATAATCACTTTTCGAGCGATTTCCTCCGATAGCACGGGCGTAAACCTACATCAGGGCTGTCAAATATAACATTGTTATAATTATTTCCTTTTAATTTTAGTATAACACTGAACATTTTATTAATTGAAAGTTTGTAGCTCTTGCTATGCTTATTAGACTATAGTTGTTGTAATTAATGATCAATTAGTTATAAGAAGGCTATCAAAGTAGTTGTAATTGATGGAAGGCAACCCTGTTCGTGCCAGCACTCAGCCAGCTGTAGGTTCGTCTCAACAAATTGCCGTGATGCCCCCGCCATATTAAGTTAAAGTCCACCCCGCCCCCTCTTGTTCTTCGCTCCGACTAACTACACTATTCTATTGTAATTTATAATTTGCCTTTGTTGACAGTTAAGATCATTAGGTTGACAAACGTCTCGAGCCACTACCTAAGTACTAAATAAATATTTGTTTCGTATGACTTGTACCAGTCTTAACTAAAATGTAATCAATAATGTAGGTTTACATTTTTCATTACCCAGGTAAGGGTGGGGTATAAATGCCAATGCGTGGGGAAGCGAGGGGACTGAGTGGTTCTGCGGGGGGCGGGGAGGGGGTAGAACAATGGCCACCATGACATTTACCATGGAAGCGATTGTCACGGCCCGTTAAAGACGACATCCACTGAGCGTACAGCCGCTCTAGACTCCTCAAACACAAATCGTCAGATTGTTTTCCTTTATACCTTTTTTTCATTCCTGCCGCAGACTTCTGAGTCTCTAATTACTTATCCGCCGGGAAGATTTTTATCTGCAGCTCGAAAAATATAATCTCGGATGTAAGAAAAATAAGCATACGATGCATAAATTGCTTAAATATTTCATACGCACTCCCGGCGCGAGGCAGAACGGTCTATTGGTTGAGTAAATTGGAATAAAGCGCGTCTTATACGGTTTAAATAAGGAAAAAACAGGATAAAATACATACATTATATAGTAATTTAGAACATAATTGATTCATAGTATCATAAAACATCTCTAAAATTAAGTTATCCCATGTACGTAAGTTATGTAAATAAGTGGAGGTTATTTTTGTAAGCCACACTTAGTCCCTCGCTGAGTCATGAAGGCTTTGTACACGTGCCACACCTGCGGAGGCTCGATAGCAGACGGCCGACGTAGCAGACCCTCGTACGAGCCTATTCAGGAATTAAAGACGTTTGAATATACATACCACTACGATACGTAGAGAACACTGACGAAGTTTAATCATCAGGTTTCCAAGAATATTACAAACGAAAATTACATTAATGTATTAGAAATACATATAAAATAATTCTCATTTAATTCATGTACATTTATTTATATAAAATGGTTATAATTTCGTTACTTTTGTTATAATAATTAATTACGTAACAAGTTTCTAAATTATGAAACAGATAACAACAACATGCTTTGTTATTTTACATAATTAATACCTATTATTATTCATTGTTTTACAAAACAAAGTTATGGAAAGCCTGGATGTGGATACAATCATTACAAACAGAACATTTCCTTAGTCCCCACTCGCACCTTCTAACAATAAGATAAACTTCATTATAATATTGTATAAGATGTTTGTTAATGATGTGTAACAGGCTTTATATTGACTCTTCTTCTTCCACCTGGCAATTTCCCATCTTTAGCCAGGGTCTGCCTTACATGTAATGAATAGTTTTGGCTAATTGTTTTTACAACCGGCCGCCTGCCTGATATCAACCCTCTTTGGGAATCAGCATTAATCAGTGATGTCTAAATACTCTTAGAAAGTATATACCACTCAGAAAAATGACTTTGGTACTTACCCGGGCCAGGATCGAACCCGCGCCCTCGTGCATGAGAGGCGGGCCTTTTAACCACTAATCCACCACTGACTACTATTGACACTATCACATTAAATATATTTTCGTTATTTCAAGCAATAAAACCGCTTTGATTAAAACATTACAAAAGCTACTCAAAAACGTATTGTATTTTCCTTTTATACTTTTTTAGCTGTCGTTTTTGTTTGTCTGAGGTTCAATCTTCATTGAAACGCTGTATGTTATATAGATATAAAGAGATATCTTGTACACTCAATTTTTTTTATTCTTCCAACAGATTCCAATATATTAATTTAACTAATTGTTAAGAAGATGTAAGCAAAATTTAACATTAATATCAAAGCGTATTGATACCTATGATATAACATAACACACAAAGCTAAATTGGATGTCTTAAAGCAAATTAACAATTATAGAAAACCGTGGAGTTTCTATCGGAGCGTTTGTAATCGACAAGAACATTTAAATTTTGGAATAATTTCAGTAAACGGTCTCGTTTACATATTACAATAACTCCTGAGCTTGATGTTGCTGACAAGCATTCACTGAGATAATCGCCTGTATTGTTCACGAAACCGTAATCCTTTTAAAGGAGCATTATCTGATGTAATCGTGATTTAAACGAACTTTATTAAAATCGTTTATTAACTTCATCACAAACAAGGTATGTTTATGATCCACGTATTCTTTACACTCCAACGTATGTATTTAATAAACTTAAATAAATATTTTATTTGTTATCGATTCCCGAAAGCAATATAGACATACGCCATTATCTATGCATTGCTTTCATCTTAAAATATAGCTAATGCTGTAAATAGAGCTATTAACGAATTTTTATAACCGCTCCCACCCAAAGCGGGGAGACTGTTATGTAAGAATTTTTATTTTATATGGTGACACCCTGAACTCCAATAGGGAAATTGGATTGATACTACTTTTAAGAGCTTTTCAGTAACAAAATACGTCTTACGCTGTGTTCAATATTGAGTATTTCATTTATGTTTTTACGACATGAATTATTTTTATATCGATCGTATTCCTGTATGTGAATATTGTGACAATATAAATTATGAATTTGTGAACTTAATGTTCTACTATGTATTGAACGTAAAGACTAAAATTTAAAGGTATGTTTTGTTCTGTAAGTAAAGATATTAACCTAAATTTTACTGATACATTCAAATTAGAAACGATTTAACGTCTTTTGTACCGATTTTCAGTAAGAACGGATTTCTATGACAATTGAACTATTCCTGTGAAAGATCACGAAGCCACATTACTTCGTTTTATTACCTAATAGTTGTTGAAATGTTCTATATAAATTGAATTAGCAATTTTAAGATAAAATATTGATTTAGTATATATATAATTTTATTAATTATGTAAAATCTTATGAATTTGAATATAATCTAAGAAACTGAAAACGAGATCAAGAAAACACATCAAATGAAATAAGAAAGAATAAACTCGTAGCGTAACAGTTGTTAAGAGTTTCAAGTACACTCGGCGGAAGAAGTTATATCCTATATTGTACTCGAGATGTTCTCAGCGTTTGATATTTCCCTTTTCAGCACTGTACTAGGTTAGCTTCGGAATCCCGATGATAGTTTAATCAGAAGTCAGACATTAAAGACGTGCGAATATCAGCATCAATAAAAATCATATCAATCCTAACAAGTTAAAGTCAGAAACGTTTTATCACAGAATATTGTGTGGTTACGATCATTCACAAGCTGACATCGCAAAAGCCAATTTACCAAAAGGGATCCGTTCGTGGAAGTTTTTTGCTCGGCGGTTGCAAACGAGCATAAGGAAATAAAACAAAAACAACTGTCATCTACGTCAACTCTGTCGGCACACTATTTTATTGATTCCCTGCAGTACGGATGAAAGTTGAGTCGAAATACACAACGAGAGAAATATATACATGGAATAATAATAGAAAATATATTATTAATGTGTCTGCTGTATCACAGATGAATAAATTATATGAAAATAAAGACACTTTCCAATAAAAACCAACAAGAACGAGATTTATAAATGACGACACGCTTCAATGGATCTCCATCACAGCACTGCAGTTAAAAAATATCAGTTATTCCCTTATGACGTTAACTGTGATCGTAGATACATATTAAACTATCGGATAATGTACGAAAAATATATATTTTTTATAGATTTGTATAGATTACAATAAAAATCACTACTATTACTTACATTTCTTAAATCTGATGCAAATATTATAAATCTATACCGCATACATTTTTGCATTTATATCATATAACCGTTGCATTCCGCTTAACCGTGATTTATGTATGTATTTTCCGTTCTTTTCGCTTGTAGCAAAAAGTGTCGTAGATACAACTAACAAGGTTATTGTATTCGAACTTTGAACCCCCGTATGATAAATGCGTTGCTGGGAGCAGACAACGGATGCTTACATGCAGCTTATCACGAAAACCGCTTGTGCATAGAGAATTTATTTTGGAATGTAACTTAAAATCCGTTAAAAATTTACTCTCTTTGTACGCTTGAATGTTATCTATTTTAGCTTCATTGTGAGTTTTTATTTAAACGATAAAAGCATAATATAAAATACAGCGACCCAACTTTATCGTTCACGGGAATTTTGTATATCATTAAACAGTCTAAAATATTTATAAAGAACAGCTTTTTATGTCATCCAGTTCTGTTTCTTACGATTTGTTTGAAGTTCGTTCCTTGACTCATAGGGTGGAAGGATCTAATTAAGTTTATTAATACTTAAATAAAACACATAACGTTGGACAACACTAGCGGGCATGTTTGGTGTGCCTGTTGACCCCACTCGAATGGCACGGACAAACATCCACCATGTATCCGAACGAAATTGCTCACGCACGTCGCCAGTAACGGTTTATGGCTAATCACAAACAATGTTAGTGACAGTAACTTTAAAAATGACTCGCATTTATTACTAAGGGAATACTAAACCGCAGGCGGGAATCCTGATTCCTGTTATTATTGGAAACAAAATCACGCGCGTGTATAAAAGCTTAACCTTTATAAAGAAAAAATATCGAGTAAAAATTCACTATTTAATTGTAATGTATGTTAAAATGGCCAGTCCACGAGGTAGCTATCAGTATTATATTGAAAAGAATTAAGGAAAATCAACAGTAACTCTTTATGTTACACTTATCAACCAGTTATTCCAACTATAACATTCGTATGATACGATTTATTTAAAAATACATTTTTATCCTGTTTTGAACGATCCCATTTATATATCTTAAAAATACCCAGTTTTACGAGTATCTTATTTTTTATAAATATTAAAAGATTCACATACGGTAAAAATTGCTCACCTATTATTGTAAAGAACTAAGTAACGAGCTTATTCAATTTGAAGTATTGATGATCCTTTAACTACTTTTGGTTTTATTATTCAAACTATTGCTAACAAGTTTAATGTAATAACACATAAGAATATCAATTTGTTTAAAAACTATTCATAATTAATGTTAAACGTTAGTCATCAGCCTATTAGAGCCCACTGCTGAGCAAAGGCCTCTTTCTCACATGGAGAAGGTTTGAGCATTAATCACCACGCTTGCTCAAGACGGATTGGTGATTTCAAACATATAATTGTGAAATTATAAGTCGAGGTTTCCTCACGATGTTTTCCCTCACCGTATGTCAGTGATGTCTAAATACTCTCAGAAAGTACATATGACTCCGAAAAATCACATTGGTAAACGTTAGTCATATACATTTATATATAACTTCATAGCTATGCAGCTCATATAACTTTAGGAACAGGATTTTTTTTATATACGTAGCTATTTTATGTATTTTAACAACAGATGCTTATTAAAAACCTTTGCCATTGCACTTAACTTACAACATT